AGTACAAACATTTTTCATTGTGGGGCGCGGGGAGGGCACTAATTTTGTTTTTCTGGAAAGGGGGCTGTAGGGCAAGTAAGTTTGCGAGTACGGTTCAGGTGGGCTTCTCTGTATGTACATGAGGCCTGAAAGATGTTTGGAGCACATGAATTTTTGGTAAGAAGCATGGTGTCCCAGGGACAAAGCCACAGGCCCAAACAAACCACTGTCAAGAGGCCTCCGACCCTTAGCAGCCTGACCTGGGGCTTCTGAGACAGAAACTGACTCCTCATTCGAGCCGACAGGCTCAACGTGCTCCTGAGGAGCTGCTGGTGGCTTTGAACCGCCGGTCTTGCCATCAGCAGTCCGACACCTGACACACAGCACTTCTTAACAGTCACTGCCACTCAATCACATGCCATAAAGGAATAAAGAGGTCTTCAAAAGGCAGGGCTGGCTGTGAATCCAACTAATTCGCCATCGGGACTGATTGGCCCGTGGGAGCGTTCTGTGGGCTGTTGGCTGACCCGTATACCGTACAGTCTCGTTCACAATTCACTCACTCCCGTTCTTCTTTAGCAAAGTGGGGTCAGTTGGGGCTGATTTCTTTGTGGAGAAGCGCTGAAGTGCTTGAACGACTGTGGACTCGACTGTTATTGATCGAGTCATTTTTCTTCCCCTCTTGATCAGAGTACACAGAGACCGAGAACAAACACTAGAAACCTGGGAGAAAATCCAAACCCAAGTAAAAAGATAGACTAAACAGTGTGGGAACTGTGCGTAGCTATGAATTAGGGAAGCTTGGTTTGCTGATCCGCGGAGCTGGATCTGAGAATCTCCGGACTGAGACTTATTATAGTGGAGTGGCCTGTCCTTCAGGCAATTATTGGCAGTGTTAGAGGAGCCCTGTAACAACGCCCACGCAGAGTGGAGGCCAAGGGGCTGCATGGCTGAGGCCCAGGGCAAGAGAGAGACCTGACTGTGGGCAGGGCTGGGAGGTAGCTGTTCTTCAGTGTTAGTCTGGGTAGACTAAAGGAACAAATTTTTGGAGACACTCATAAGATATTTATATATAAGAGCAATGGAACATTGAGAAAACATCCCAGTCCAGTCCAGATCAAGTCCTTAAGTCCAATATTAGCCCAGATGTCCAATACCAATCTATAAAGTCCTCTTCAGACTCATGAACACATGCAATGACGCCAAATGTAGATCATCACAGGCCAGTGGGTAGAAAGTCTTTGGATCCAGTAGCGTCATAAGCATTTCAGCGCTGGCAGGAGTCTCATGTGGCTTCTCCAGCTTCAGAGGGTGGGTTGCATCAGGGTGGGTTCATGTGGCTTCTCCAGCTCAGGGCACTAGTGTAATTCCATGTGTCTTGCCAGCTGCAGTATCTCCCAGGGAGTCAGCAGAGAAAGTATTTCCTGCCTCCAAAGAGGAAATCTTCTAGAGTTGCCAGAATTCTCAGAAGGCCATGCCCACACAGAGGCCTCATTGGTTATTTCTTGATCGCTAGGCCAGACTGCACCCCCTCCCTCATAATTCTCTCAAATTGACACGTTGTCATCTTGGGGTTGCATGGCCTTTCTCCTGCAGTCTCTGGGGTAGTTTGAACAGCCAACCTCTGAGTTAACAGACAGCCAACTGCTTCATTGTTCTGCCACCAGCACGCCTCAGTGTTAGCACCTCTGTGAATTTTTTGGAAAATGAAAGAACCCATTGCAGTCTATCATCAGCGCCATTTTTACTCGTTCTCACACACTGGAGAGACAGCTCTAATGGTCGCTGTGCTGTCTTGCCCTAGTCCAATCTTAGGAACCCAAACCCTTTATCAAGTTGATTCTCAAAAGTGGGGATTAAATCGCCGTGGTCACTGGTTTGTAGGAAGTGTGTTGTCCTTTCTCTTTCACCATACGCAGAGTTGCGCCCATAAGCATGGCGCTAACGGTCACGAACACATCACATTGGAAACCGTCAGCCTCCACACTGCAGTCTCGGCCACCCCTCAGTATTGTACAATACGTTGGGAGTGCATCCAGGTCTACCCACACACAATCGAGCCGAGAGCCTTAAACTCTGAATTCACAAACCCGAAACACGCTTTTTCCGTCTTTCATGATCAAAAAGCTCCATTAGTTGAGGGAGGCTATTCAGACTCGCTGAATACTGAATTAACGTGTGAGGAATTGGACTTCATGAAGTATTCATGAGTTCTCATTTAATGCTAATTAAATGAAAAGAAGAAAGACCTGCGTTAAATGATTTTAAGACTCTGGCACAGACTGACGAAAACCTGGACAGAGGTTCCCGGGAGAAGCTCAAGCACGTCGTTGACTGTGCAGGTTCGGACGCAGCACTGAAGCCGAGCTGCCGCTGCGGCTCCCAGGCAGGCTCCAGGCGGCAGCGTTAGCATGGAACCACTCATCGAAGAGGCCACTTTTGGATTCTGGATTTTGTCAATCTTTAACGAAGAAAGAAACCAAAGATGGGGTTTCTGAGGCTGTAACTCTTTACAGGGGCAGAAACCTCATCTCTGTCCCGAGAAGCGGCTAGCAGTTTGGCATTGCTGGCCCAACATGTAACCCACTAGATCAGCCCGCTCCTGGACGGTTTAAATAATTTGAGCACCTTGAGAGGGAGGCTGGACCTGCTAACCACAGCTCGCAGTTCAAACTCACCAACTGATTGGTGGGAGAAAGACAAGGTTCTCTCCACCGCCCCCAAGGAGCTGTTTGACTCTGTTCTCATCACCACCACCTTGTCCTGGCTCATGGACACTTCGCGCTCAAGGTTTCTGTCACATTACAAAGGGAGGCTAACTACATGTCAGATTGGGCCATGAGGGGCGATTACATCAGTATGTAACAGCCCAGCCATTGAGCATCTTGGTGCAGCCAGGTGAACACGAATTTGGAGGGGCCAATCTCCAACCTTTCTCTAAAGAAAGCCACAGTATCATAGGCAGCCACGAAATGATCATTTATTTTCACAATCAAAATACACACTACATGATTTCCATTCTATCTTAAAGTAAAACACAAGCCTCTGTGCTCAATGAAATGTCAGAAACCACACTTGAGGGGCTCGTCCGACTGGGTCTCCGGTATCCGTTGACGGGTGTGTGCACTCTTACCATGTGCCTTTCACTGTCCGGTGGGAAACATTTGTGTTTTCCTTCTCCGACACGTTTTTTACCTGGGTTTGGGTGCCCGCGGGTTTCCTGGGCACAGGCAGACGTCTGGAAGGGTGTGCACCAAGATGTAAACAATATTGAGTAGCAGTGATGGGATTACAAGTGATTTCTCATTTCCCTGGTATTCTCTTCTGGACACTGTATTTTAAGGCAAACAAGCACACATTACGTTTTCTTGTCCACCTGAGAAACCTCCCGGCGAGGCAGGGCCCCACTCGCGCTGTGCGTGCTCTCTGCGTGTGCATTCTAGGTGAGAAACAGAGCAGCCTAATATTGTCTGGAGAACACTGTGAATTTAATAAACCGAAAAAAACTAGAAAGCGATTTCCATTCTGGGAGCCAGGAGACAATCGTGTAAATGTAAATTGCTTGCAAGAGTAGGCTGTATTTTATCCCCCATCGACCAGGTTCTCACAGCACGGGAAGCACACGCACATTTTAAACGTGCTCCATCGACACACTAGACTGTGCACAGTGAACACTTACTTTGTGGATGGTCTCTGCAAGCTCAACGCTGAAAGCCGACATTTGCAGTCAATTCCGGTTGGATAAATGAGTATCCCTTAATTTGCCCAGTGAAAAATCCCGACTTGGCTTCCCATGGGATTTTACCTGAGTTTATTCCCAAGAGAGGAAATCACTGTGCTTTGGCGTAAGTGATACCAAATGATCTGGAATTCCAGAACCCGGACATGAAATGCTTCGGTCCAGACAGCCCAATGTTTTCGCTCTGCTGGCTCGCAGTCACTGCCAGTAAAACAGATTTAAATTTTTCAAGCTGAAACGAACCTATGTGTTCACTGCAGATAGCAACAGCCTCCTCACCCCCACCCCCCCACCCCTGCCTTGGGACTTTATCAAATGGACTGTTCAGAAAACATATGCAAGAGCAAACACTACCACTTTCAATCAAGTTTTACTGTCCTGTCTGCCACTGGCTCTGTGAGGGAGAGAATGTGCAAGTGAGTAATTTCTGATTCAGGCATCTCCCACTGGTTTCCACATTTCCTTCCATTCAGTTAGCAACGATATACTTTCTCCTTTTTATTCAGTCTTGAAGGAATACGAATGCCTATAAAAACGCACACAGTGGTTCGGAACTCTGAAAGTTTATTTACGTGATAATCTGACATGTTAAGAAACCGCCACACACAGCCGATATTTGCAAGATGGATTAAAAAAATAGTCAATTTTGAAAACACACATACAGTAATAACTTCTTATCTAAATAATCTTAAACCAGTCAGTTAAACAACAATCTGAGAACAGCCTCTATCTCTTAGAAGGTACGCAAGCAAACAAACAAAAAGTGCTCAGGTTACATTTGAAAAGTAAGATGTGACCATCTGAGAAAACTTGCAGTCAGCGACCTGAAATAAAGATCTTTAAATGAAGATGGCAGCAGGGGCTGCATGTCTGTTATATCCATGTGCCTGAGGCGGGGAGGGGGCTGGGAAATTTATTTCCAATCAAAGGGGGCATGCTGCAGAGGTGGCAGGCAGTTACCTGCCTTGAAATGGCAGCGTGACTTTTCTTGACAGACCGGACCACCACTTCATTAGACGAGAGCCATGAACCTCAGCTCGGTTCTCTGCTGGAGAGTACTTGTCAACTGACAAAGTGCGGTCCCTTCTCTGGACAGGCCTCTTACAGCCCATTATCAACATTCACGTGGTCAGGGCTCCAAGGGACAAAACATCATCTGATCATCGGACCGACGCTAACTATTCTCAACAAGCCAAAAGCACAGTAGCAACCAAGTGTCATGCCCAACTCATCCTGGAGAGTCCTGGACCAACAGGCCACCTCCCTGGGCAGCACGCAGGTTCCCGGACGGGGCGGGAGCCCCTTCCTCCAGAGGGAGCCCCCATGGAGCTGTGGCAGGACACCAGCTTTCCCTCTCCCTCTGACCCTCGGGAGGTGAGACCCTTAGCTGGATGCAAGGAGGCTGATGGCATCACCAAACCGGACAGCCTTGTGTGAAACATGCCCGTGACTGGCCACGCCCTACTTCTATGAACAAGGCTGAGCACCCTCAAAATACATTCTTACATCTCTCAGGTAGGTCCGTAACTTTATGCTGACGAAGCCCAAATCCGTGCGGAGCATCATTCCTGTATTAAAATCACTTGTGGGCATCGATCCTTTCTCTGGATGGCACAGGGTTTCGGATAAATTCCACTCTATGAGGCAAAGAAGAATGCCCCATAAGCCCTCGAGGAACTTCCAAACACGAGTCTTCTGCGTGGTCTCCAGATGATTCCGAAGGACGTTTCAGAAGAATGGGAAATCCAAGGAAAGGCTTTTGCTAGCGGATTATCTGCTGCTAGCCACCACAGGACACGTGGCAGATGGGACAACCACACACTCGGAGCCCTAAGTCTCTGGTATGTGGATGTCAAATACTGGGCATTTCTTTTGCTGTTTTTGTTCTTAGAAGCTGACAAGCTGAAGGTGATTCTTTAGTGCTGACCTAAAGTCAATGAGTTGTGGGCAAAGTTGAATCGTTTATTCAACTGGCTACAATAGTGGGATTCAAACTGCTAACACTAAGCCTTTTAAAAAGCCCAGCTTTTTAAAAGACCAGTTGATAGAAAAAAGGGGCCCCAAACGGGGTTTGCTAGGGACTCGATGGCCATGCAGCACAAGTTGGGGAGCTGCTGAAAAAGGGAACCCGAGAAACAAAGTCCCTCGTGTTCAGCAGGTGGTGAGCTGGGCCTCCTCCTGGGCTGGGCACTCCTACAGGCCCAGCTCCGGCTCATCTTGGCACCTAGCACAGTGCCTGCCACTGTGACCATGGGGGATGGGCGGAGGCCTGACCAAAATAAAGGCCCTCTCTGCTCCTGGCACTCAGAGCAGTGTCTCCTCGTTGGCCCACCAGGAGCAGACTTTCATTTTTTCCGCTCAAAACCAAGCACAGCAACCCTCCAGGGCAGGTTTCCCGGCCTGTCATCTTCCCAGAAGTGGACTCCCACATCTTCCTCCCGTGGAGGCACTGGGGATTGGGTGTCACGGTGGAGTCTCTCTGCTAGCCGCTGAGCACATGGACCACCGCGCCATGGGAACACAGAGGTCAAAAGGACCCTGACCCTTAATGAAGTGATGCTTGGCATTGCTGCAGAAGGAGTCGCAGTCGGGTAATAACTCGTCTTCGTCAATAACCAAAGACAAGTATCCAGAGTCAAAGAATAGAACATTTGTGCATACAAGGGGGCTTCAAAGTATCTGGAGATATTTTCATTCTCATTCCATTTTCCCCATATACTTTTCAAATCCCCCTGTATTTACATTTTATAGGCACAGATCAAGGGAGAGGCCACCTTAAAAAAACACCTAATTTTTTTTAAGATTCTTTGAAATACAGCAAGTTGTACAACACTTAACATTTTATTGTCCACACAGGACCCTTCTGAGACTGGAAAAGGAACACGAGTCACAATTTTCTGGGAGGAAACCCACGCTAAGACACAGACAGGAGAGCTGCCCTGGGCACACAGATACCTGATGTGGAGACAAGAACGCGTCCTTTTTGATTTGGTTTGTATCGGGAGCCCCACACGTTCTTTGCAAGTTCCCTCTTAGGCTACAATGTATACTAACCAATGTTTAGTACACAGGTTTGCAGTCTTAGGTTTTCTATGCAATAAAACAGTTTTTCAACCTTCTTCAGGGTGTTCCAATAGGAACTAACGTCACAAATGGGTCTGAGGAGTTTGTCTGGACTTCTGATTGGGCTGGGGTGGGGGTGGGGGAACCCCAACGCAGTGGCGAGTTAAATGACTTAGATCATCTCCCTTGTTCCAGATAACAACAACAAAGGAAATTTAGCAAGACATCCCCCGGCCAAAAAAATGCCAAACCCCATGTATGAGGTTCGGCTCCACAGTGTACAAGCCTTTACTTGCATCATGGGAGTCTCTCAGACACATGGCTGCCACCGAGAACTTCAGGAAAGCCGTCTAACAGCGGGAAGGAAATGTCCTGGTTTGGGGGTGTCCCCGAGATCACAGCCATGCCCAAGACATTGGCCAGAAGTACCAGGCAGGAGCTCCCTGGACATGCCAAACAAGAGGCCCTGGAAGTGCCACTTCGGGGTGGAGAGGGTGGCGGCGGCGGAGGCAGTGAAGTGCGTCAGTTTCTGAACAGCAGCATCCTCTCGGCGCAGCTCTGGCCCACCAGGCTGGCGTACTGCAGGACCACCGCGTCCTCGCTGGGGTCCTTCTGCTGCTGCTTGTACACGCTGTAAGGCATGATGGCTTTCTTGTGGAACACCTGCACCCGCCCGGGCTCCTGGCTGCGGTCTTCATCCACTGCAGGGGCAAAGGACACAGTGATGTCAGCCTCACCCATCCCACCTGGGCCCGGCTCCCCACCCGTTCCCACTCCAAAAGGCCACTTACACACACACACACACAC